GCCGCCATCGACGATGTCATCGAATGGTCCAAAGACGGCACACTGGATAGCCGCCACGCCGCCTGGCGCGACCACGCCATCTCAGAGACAAAAATGGTACCTGAGTCTCTCTCCTCCGACGGCTATCCCCCCACACCCACCTCCCCCTATCCCTCCACCCCCTCCAACAACCACTCATCCGGCCTCTACACCAAACGCTTCACGCACAAACACCCGCTGGGTCGCCCCCGCTCCCTCATCTCCGACGACGAAAAAGCCGAACTCCGCAAGGACCGTCTTACCCGCCTTACCGCTGAGGCAGCAGCCAAGAAACTCCAACAACAAAGGCAGGAGAAGAGGGAGAAGAGCAAGGGGTGTTTTGATAAGGTGAGGAGGGGGTGGAGGAAGAGGAAGAGTATGGTGTGGTTTGTGTGCTTTATTGTGGTTATATTGAGTGGGATTATGGGGGGGTTGGTGTGGGCTATGGCGAGTGGGAAACTGGATTTTACGCCGGGTGGGGAGGGTGTTTAGTGTGAGGGGGAGGGAGGGGGGAGGGTGTGGTGATGGATTTGGGGGTGTATGGTGTTAAAGGGTGGGAATGAGTGGGAGTACGGCGTTAACGGTTGGAGATGAACGAGATCACTATAGCGAGTGTCATGCCTTACGTGGATTCAATGGCGTTGTAGGCGTTGGACTTGTTATGGCGTTGAGGATACCCGTGGTATATGGGGTAGGAGTCTGGAGTTGGTGTTGGTAGTCGTGGAGGATGATAGACTAGGTCATCACTCTACTTTGGGATTCATTAGGACTTGAGGATGTGGTATCACCATATCACCAACATAGTTTGAGAGATACTCTTTTACTACACTTTCCTGTTAGAACGTGGATAATGGCAACCGTATTCCAACATTGTCTTATCCAACGAACGTCAATCCTTCTCCAGCTGTGACCTATCAACCTACGATACCATCACATCCCTACACACACACATACGCATACGCGTACAAATACTTCCCTCCATCTTCACCCCTACACCCTGCTCCCTCACCCCTTACTCACATACCGCCATCCACCACTAATCACCATCTCACCTCCATCCGAAAACACCACTACCCAGAAATCCCTACCTAACAAACCCTACCCTAGAACCATGCACATGCAGCGTACACCTCATCTCCGTGATTCCGTAGTCCCGCACTTCCGTGCTTTCCGCTCCGCTCCTTACTCCGACTCCGCTCCCTGCGCTCTTAGTCCGCACACGCTATTACAATCACACACGGACCAGCGCCGGTTCTAGATCTCGTTCGCGTGGTTGAGGGATGGCACGGGTGGGTGGTAGAGTTTGTACCTGAAGATCGTTATTTCGCTTGGTGGTGGGACTACTGGGACTATCGGAATCGGTAGGATAGGATGGGATGTGGTTCTGGACTCTGGAGGGGCTGGTGAGGTGGTAGTGGGTTGGTCACTGTGTGGGTGTAATTGGGCGGAGTGGATGAGGACTTGCGAATAGTTTTTGCTGAGGGTTGTTGGAATTATCAGAAGCTCACATACACATGTGCTAACGGGTGATTGTACATTCAATCGCAAGACATGCATTGCGGCACCCACCTACCCGTCTGAAAGAAGTAAAAGAAGACATTTCCGAGATCGATACCCGCAAGTTCCACAGCACCACCCAAACACTTCATCCCATCGCACCCATGAGATAAAGTCAGGAGTAAAGAAACGGTTCACTAGCGGTTCCCACGCTATTCTTAGCCTCAAAAAGCAATCCCATCCCAATCCATCCCGATCCCGTATCTGCATCTCCCAGACCACGCGGTTCACGTTCCAGAACACCACACTAAAACGTATCCTTGCAAAGCCGCGTTTCGTTAGCACTCCCGCGAACACGAAGAAAAATGTACGTTGCTGACTGCATCCTGCAAAACGCGATCCGAGCGATACTAGCACAGACGCGTTTTCTTTCGCTAGCAGCTTGCAGGAACTAGAAGTAGTTAAATGTGCAATTTGCTCTAATTGCGCTTGTGGTGCTTGTGAAGGTACGATGACGACGTGCATGCGGCTGGGTTCTTCGCTGTGCGTTGCGTTCGCGCAGTCGGCAAGGGGAGGCTTGAGCGCCACCATCGCTGGCCGGGTGCTGAACTCGGTAGTGTACTGCAGGTACGAGACGAGAAAAGAAAAACTAATTCTACCCGGGCTTGCATGTCTTGCAGGCTCTGAGACGAGAACCGAAAAGACCAGGAACATGCCCAGGTGTTGAAGCCGGATTGCGCTAGAGTTGTAGAGACACGAACGCGATACGAACAACACCCGTATGTACCTAGATGTTTTGTATCGATTGTGGAGATTGAAGCCGGGTCTACTTCTGTTCTCGATTTCTAGGAAACGTCGTGTCACACGAACCGTCTGGATATATGCCCGAAACCCTCGCTGCAGGCTGCGAATATCCTCCGACGCGTCTGACAGCTGTCACAATTGACAACGCTGACTCTCACAGAGAAAGTGTTCCACTGTGGCTTATTTTGAGAAATATCCCACGAGTGGGGAGTGGGGTGGGGGGTGTTCAGAACATGAAACTGAAACGAAAAGAACACACGACGATGTTTGAAAATACCCTTGCACTTGCTTCTGTTACAACGGGGGCCGCCGTCCCCAGAGTATCACGTGCAGCCTCCCTCTCCACCTCACTTCACCATTCCATACCCACCCAGTTACTACCAAGCCAAGCCGGCACAACTTCGTATCCTGAATCTTCGGCGGTTCTCTTCCTCCCGCCAGCCACAGTATCCCAGCCCGATTCCGAGCAGACATCGAGAGGAGAATCCGGATCTAACATCCTGTTACGGATTACGGAAGTAGCCATGGCTAAATCGCGTGACCCACTTTGGGTGTGGGCTACGGCAATTGTAAATTGAATGGCGTGGCTGGGTAGGTCCCGGTAGATGAGGCGGTGATGTCATGGTTAGCTGCACATGCACACAGACGGATGTGTGTATGCAAGTCAGGACCGTTGCAGATACACCTAGAGGCGGAGGCAAAAACGAAGTGCATGTGGTGGGAAAGTGCGTTTTGGCTGTTGATGTAATGTACGTTTATTTCGGGATCATGGACGTTTTTTCCGATGTGATTGCTTTGCTTTCCGAGACCCTGGCAACTGGTTGTGTGTCGCGTAGACTTGCGATGTTGGGGCCCTTGTCATGTGCGGTCGGTGGCTGTGGGTTGTCCCGCACGCACCGCCGTTCGATGTTCGATCGGCAGCCGATCCTGTCACATGGCCGAGGAGTGATGATCGCGAGGGGGATTTGGGTAAGACTTGCACTTGGTTGGGAGGGTCAAGTCAAATCGACAGCAGTGTGATGTACAGTTGTTTAATATAGCGAATGGCAAGTCAAATGTGTGGGTAATGTAGTGTCGGTCCACTCTTGTTGGTAGAGCAGAGTAGTATGTAGATTTGATGATGGTAGTTAAAGTAATAGTAAATGCAATGTAATGCGATGCTAGCGATTGTCTCGTCCAGGACAAACGGGATATGCAAATGTGGTATCATGGAAAGTGACAAATAAAACACCGAGAAATGCCATGGGAATGTAACGCCGCATCCGTTGTCTTCGTCCCACTCTGTACAGTTCGTAATCATGCGCGCCGTCAACTCATCAACTGCTGTCCTCGCTGATCGTCGCATCGCTCGCCGACGATACTGACGATTTGTTGTCTGAAGGCAAGGGTCCGAGTGTCCAGCGCCAGTCTCGCGTCCGCTTCCGTCGTCCGGCGACGGGAGTTTCGGGAGCTGAGTCGCTGTCGTCGTCTGAAGATGACGAGTCGCGCTTCTCGCCTGTGCGGGGCGACTTTGGTCTTGGTGAGCTCTCTGCGGAGGACGATGTGCTGATGAGGGAGAGCTGGAGGGGCGATATGCTGGTTTCGGAGGGGTTCTTCAGAGCCTTGAGACTTAATGACGGCTGTGATGTCGAGGCGTCGGAGTCGGTGGTGGAGGCGGTGGATGCGAGAGAGGAGAGTGTTGAGACGGAAGACTCAATGTCGGAATGTGCGAGGGTGTATCTGGTGGTGGTGATCTCCTCTTCCAGTGGTGTGCGGAAGGAGACGCGCTTCTCGGCGGGGAACATGGGCCGGCTGGAGCCCATCTTGCGTGGTATTATCGAGCGCGCGGGGCTGTTGGAGAGGATGGAGACGAGGTTGTGGGGTTGCTTGTAGGGTATTGAGAGGGTGGCCGAGTCGTGAGAGGCCGATGTGAGGGTGGAGGAGAGGGTAGACGCTGAACTTGGCGTCGATGCGCTGGTAGAGCCGCTGGTGGCGGGCACGTCGCTCTCGATGGAGAGCTGGGGTCGTGAGGGGCGTTGTAGTGTCGGGGCAGTCGCCGGGCGCTCATAGGCGTTGGAGAAGGTGTTGCGGACGGTGGGCGATACGGCGCTGAGGGTTTCAAGACGGAGACTGGCACCTTTGCCCAGGATGCGCGGCTGCTCAGTGTTGATGGAGAGTTTGGGCCGGGGCGGGGCCTGGCGCGGGGGTATTATAGGCAGCGAGGCGGCCATGGAGGAAGTCATTGAGGTCATACCGGACATGGCAGATGATGCTGGGTGCGAGGGCTGGAGGGTGGACAGCATCATGTGGGGGGTGTCCACGGGTATGAGGCTGGTGCCGGAAGGGTGCAGATGATATTGCGAATACTTGGGGACAGGCGAGTGCTAGAGGGGCACATCGCTATTAAACACTGCCATGTCGGCTGCGGATCCACCAGGACGGTCTTAACACGAAGCGCCTGGCTGGGGCTGCTCCCAAAATACCCAGCAGCCACTAGGCTTGTCCAAAGATAGATGCAGCGTGGCAAACATAATTGGGCTACCCGCGCCCGGCGCTTGGCGTTGACGGGCGGCGTTTCGCACCTGGCCACACACGTCGCGCCTTCACGCGCGCTTCATCACCCGTTGCACCACCACCTGCATCTCCACACGACACGCACGCCGCTGAAACTGCTGCACAACACCGGCGCTTCTCGTTGCTCCATGAAGAAACTGAAACGCCAGACCGGCTCCGTCATCGTCCACTTTGTTCGTAAGCACCAGGCACAGCCTTCACGCCTTGGTCGCCCTATTCGGCCTCACCTACTAACCTTCCCTCGTATCCACAGGACTACGTACGTACTTCTTACCGCGTGCGGCCGAGTCTACGTATTTGAGTGCGCAGAAGATAACGTCTACCGTGCCCCTCCCCACAGGACTGCTTCTACGCCAGCGTATTTGAACATGAAAACCCAGCATTACGACGCTTGCCACTGGCCGTGCAGCAAAAACAGATAGTCGTCACATGCAACTATGAGGCCCGCCGACGCGTACGATCCCTTGACTACCGCCGTGCCCGTGTCATCGGTCCAGTCTGACTCTCCCAGGGCTTGCACAAGCTGCAGCTGATCCACGAAGCGAAGAAGGTCTGCCCAGATGTAGTCATCGTCCTGGGCGAAGATCTTACCCGCTTCCGGAATGCTTCCAAAGAACTCTATGCTTTCTTGCGATCGTTTTCCTGGAACTCCCGTTGTGAACGACTAGGCTTTGATGAGGTTTGTCTTTCCTGGTCGCCTTTCCACTCTCGACCCTCGTGTCTCAGCACCGCCACCTTTGCAATCTCATTTTAGTCCCAACGTTTTCTGTTCCCTCACCGTATCGTTCATGCGAGTCATGCTAAGGCGGGCTAGGTGTTTTTAGATGTCACCGACATGATCGACTACAATGTCAGCATTCTCAATTCTAATGACCTCAGCAACGCCTTCTTTTGTCTCGATAAGAACGATCCCACTGTGGGGTTTCCTTACGATGCGACGCAGCTGACGGGTCATCTATACCCCAAAACGGCCTCTGAACACTTAGGTAAGCGGCACACGGCGTATACGGTGTGGCGTAGCAAAAACATCTTCTTGGAATGGACCGCGAACGGCAAGGCTGACAGCCCTTGCTGAATCCTTGCGGCTACTGAGACCAGCAACCGTGCCTATGGGACTGCCACCAATAGTCTGTGATTCGATTATGCAGGTGCCCACCGTATGCGCCATAGATGCTGTACATAGCCGAGCGTTGGAACTGATCGAGTGTAGGCACCACGCCCGATCTGCTGCACCTCCGATTGGCTCTGGGAAGCCATTTAGCACATCACATACGGACTCGACTCGAGGCAGAGAAGGGCTACACGGCCACGGTTGGCATCTCTACGAATAAGCTTCTGGCAAAGCTTGTCGGCAACACATATAAGCCCAATGCTCAAACTACACTGGTCCCGCCCTATACGACTGATGAAGACGATGAGACTATCGACAACGTGACTGCCTTCATCGACGATCACGAAGTCGGCAAGATTCCCGGCATAGGGTTCAAGATAGCACAAAAGCTCCGAGCCCACTTACTGCAGAGGCCGGCAGAATTTGATGCTGGACTGGTGTATGGTGGGACCAAAGAGGCTGTTCTTGCTCGCGATGTAAGAACGCATCCTGGAATCGGTCCGGAGACGTTGGAGCGGATACTCGGTGGTCCGGGCGTACCACATGGCACCGGGACCAAAGTGTGGGGTCTACTGAACGGCTGTGACGACACAGAAGTAGGCCAAGCACGCGAAATACCGCGTCAAATCAGTATAGAAGATAGTTACATGCGCTTAGACACCCTCGAAGCCGTGACCAAAGAGCTGCGCATGCTAGCCAAGCGACTGCTCGAGCGAATGCACACCGATCTCCTAGAAGAAGATGACGATGCACACGACCTATCCACGGCTCCCACTTCCGCCACCACTTCAAAGCCTATGAAGCGCTGGCTCGCCCACCCGAAAACACTCCGACTAACAACCCGACCACGGCCGCCTCAAAACCCAGATGGCACCCGCAATCGGTCCTTTGCACGCATATCCAAATCCGGACCCATGCCAACGTTTGTCTTCAGCCTAAAAGACGACAATAATAATACTATGGATGCCGTGGTTGAGAAACTGCTGTCCGAGACGTTGCTACCGCTGTTTCGCAAGCTGCATCCGGAGAGGAAGGGATGGAATCTTAGTCTGGTTAATGTTGCGGCGACGAATATGGCGGATGCGGCGAGGGAGAGGGGTGGCGTGGGGAGGGATATTGGGAAGATGTTTAAGAGGCAGGATGAGGTGTTGAGGCAGTGGAGGGTTGATGATGAGGTGGTGAGTGAAGAACAGGTTCAAGTTGAAGCATCTTCATCACCAGATGAAGCGCCTTGGTTGCAAGAAGCAAGGCGGCAACGACGGGAATATATGATGGACGAAGAGCCATTCATACCTGAAGAAGACTGGGTGAGTGAACAGCAGCCTCAAGTTGAAGCGTCTCCATCACCAGACGAAGCGCCCTGGTTGGCAGCAGCGCGACAGCAACGCCTAGAATACATGAGAGACGAAGAGCCATCCATACTCGAAGACGATTTCGTCAGTGAACAGCAGGCTCAAGTTGAAGAAGATCTCGTGAGCGAAGAGCATGTTCAAGTCGAAGAAGATTTCACGAGTGAACAGCAACCTCAAATCGAAGCTTCTCCATCACCAGACGAACCGCCCTGGTTACAATCAGCGCGCCAGCAACGCCTAGAATACATGATGGATGAGGCCTGGCCGACAGGTGAGATTATACACAGGCAAGGTTCTGAGGATTTGCCTACTTCGTCACAGAAAATCGGGTCGCCCGTGGAGGATGAAGATATCTGGGAAGAGGATGAAGAAGATATGACAGATGCCGATTCTTTTCGCTGTGAGGAGTGTGGTGCTGTTATGCCGAGTTTTGCTATGGGTGCGCATTGGAGGTGGCATGGTATGATGGAGTAGGCCGGTTGGGGGAACGATGTTGCAATGGATGTGCCACAAGCTATATGATACGAGTACTATTGCTTTGAGCTCGCTTCTATCTAGTGCTTAAGTCTTCCAAATGGCTGTTGTGTAGGCGCTGCTTCGTGCAGTGTAATGCAAATGCAGGGTAGGTGGGGGAGGCGGAGTGGAGGTGAAATTCATCTGCACCCCCGCTACAGATCATGTATTTAATGCCTACTATATTCCTGCTCAAGCCTCTTCGGCGGGCAAGTCATATAATCCGACAACTATTACCTTGAAGATTCTTACAAATGGCTGCTGTGTAGGAGCAGCTGCCCGAAGTGGAAATGCCCCGCTAGGATCTCGGACGCGGGTTCCTCGGCAGTCCGAAGCCGTTGCACCAGTGGCTGCGACATGTGATTGACGTACATGGCAAGCCCTCTTGCAAATGCTTAACCAGAGCGCCAACCCGCGACCCAAACTCCACATTCCTACTATCATGTCTTTGGCGTAGACTTGATCGATACCCTACACACAGTCGCCCACCCGCCCACCCCGACCACGATGCCTGGCTCGTCGCGCTTGCCCGTCAGTCTCCGCGACACTTTCAATGCGCGGAAGAGCTCCGCTAATGGCCAGCTCGTCGCCTTGAACATCGATGTGTATGCGCCCTTCTCTTCCGATAACGATATGTGAAGGAGCGGAATACTGACATGAGATATTCAGCCTGCGCAACATCATCTTCGTCCTTTTCCTCCTCCGCTGGACACGCATCACCTTCTACCAACTCAAAGGACGCGGCATCTTCGGCTCCATCAGCGATGCCTACATCAGCATTCGCCGCTACCTCTACGGCGTCTTCCTGCGACTTCCCGGCGTGCGCGACAAGGTACAGGCACAGGTGTCTGATTCGCTCCTAAAACTCGAACGGAAACTTGTTCCGAGCGGTCCCGGCGTCGAGCGCATCACCAGTCTGCCCGCCGAAGGATGGAGCGAAGAGGAGGTGCGCAAGAAGCTGGGCGAACTGGCTGATATGGAGCATACTCGGTGGGAAGATGGAAGAGTCAGCGGTGCGGTATACCACGGTGGCGAGGAGTTGATCAGACTGCAGACGGAGGCGTTTGGCAAGTTCACTGTTGCGAACCCCATCCACCCGGATGTGTTCCCTGGTGTGAGGAAGATGGAAGCTGAGATTGTGGCTATGGTGCTCTCTCTCTTCAACGCACCGGATGATGCAGCCGGTGTTACAACGTCTGGCGGCACAGAGTCCATCCTCATGGCCTGTCTCTCCGCACGCAACAAGGCGTACGCTGAGCGTGGCGTCACTCAGCCCGAGATGATCCTGCCTGAAACCGCACACACGGCTTTCCGCAAGGCCTGCGAGTACTTCAAGATCAAGATGCACCTCGTCGCATGCAAAGCACCGAGCTACAAGGTCCACCTACCCTCCGTCTCCCGTCTCATCAACCCGAACACCGTCTTGCTAGTCGGCTCCGCGCCCAACTTCCCCCACGGCATTATCGACGACATCTCCGGCCTCAGCAAATTCGCAGTCAAGAAGAAGATTCCCCTCCACGTCGACTGCTGCCTAGGTTCCTTCATCATCCCCATGCTACCCAAGGCAGGTTTCGAATTCGAGCCCTTCGACTTCCGTCTGCCAGGTGTAACCAGCATCTCCTGCGACACCCACAAGTACGGCTTCGCGCCCAAAGGAAACTCAACCGTCCTCTACCGCTCCGACGTATACCGCAAGTACCAATACTTCATCTCGCCCGACTGGTCCGGCGGCGTCTACGCATCCCCCTCCATCGCTGGCTCACGCCCCGGTGCCCTAATCGCAGGCTGCTGGGCCAGTCTCGTCAAGCAAGGCGCAAACGGCTACCTGGACGCCTGCCACAAAATCGTCGGCGGCATGAAGAAGATCGAAACCGCCATCCGCGAGAAACCTGAACTCTCATCTGATCTCAAGATCATCGGTCGCCCTATGGTGTCCGTCGTATCTTTCCTTTCCAACACCCTCGATATCTACGACATCGCTGATGGCATGTCGGGTAAAGGCTGGCATTTAAATGCGCTCCAGAACCCGCCTGCTATTCACATTGCTGTTACGCTGCCGATTGTGGCGGTGGTGGACAAGCTTATTGAGGATCTGGTTGAGGTTACGGAGGAGGTTAGGGATGCGGAGCGGAAGAGGATTGCGGAGGGTAAGGGCGCGAAGGGCGCGGTTAAGGGGGATACGGCTGCGTTGTATGGTGTGGCGGGCAGCTTGCCGAATAAGAGTGTTGTTGTGGATTTGGCGAAGGGGTTTTTGGATACTTTGTATAAGGCTTGAGGGGGGTGTTTTGATTGATGAGGCGAGAGCTGGGCTGGCGTGTTGATACCTACATACCCCATTCATTATTTGTTGTGCTTTCTTCAGGGTTGATGTTGATCATACTGTCCATTGTCGATTTCAAAATTGTACAGTTCAATACATGTTCTCTTATGATACATGCTACATATTGCATTTACACTTGACAACATCGTCCACGCAGCTGAAGTGGCAGACGACCCCAATTCTTCCGGTCCACAACCTCTATCCCAACCCCCATCTACATCTCCACCCTCGGCCCATTCGCCGGCGCACTCGAACTCGCATCAGGTATCCTCGCAGCCGTCTGCTCAAGCGGCTCCTTCCTCCTCGGCCTCTTCAAATCCTCCTCCGTAACCCCATTCAACCCCACCTTCGTAATCCCCATAACCGGCGCATCCCCCTTCCTCACAAACTCATACAGCCCCGGCAACTTATTCCCCGCCAGCCTAAACGCATCCTTGACAACCTGCTCGTGCAAATCCCCCTGAATCTCAAAGATGATCTTGCTCACCGCCACCCTCGCAGTCCAGCGGTCGAAACTACCTTTTCCTTTGCCCATGCGCACGTCGTTGCCCGAGGTGTACACGCCGATGTTGGCGGCGATGCGCATGTAGAGCCGGAATTTCATTCCTCGAAGCCGTTTGCGGATGGTTTCTTCGGCGATGCGGAGTTGTTGCGCGGAGATGCGTCGGTCGTGGTCGCGCATTCGGAGACCGTAGTCGCCCCAGACGACGGTTGTGCCGCGCATGCTGCCGCCCGTGGGGACGCGGCAGCGCCCTTTTCGTGATTTGCGGGATTCGCCGGCTTTGGGGGCGAGGTAGTTGAGAGTGGGACGGGTTGTGGAGAAGAGGCGGGGGGTGTTGAGGGTGGGTTGGGGTTTAGATAGGCATGTCTGTTGGAGGACTGGGGGTGCGTTAGCATAGCTGTGGAAGGTGGGAATTGAGTGTCGTACGTGTGGGTCTTGATACAGAGAGGTTCAGTCGGCCGAATTGAGCCAGCAGGCTTTGTGATATCCTTGGTGGCGGCATGGCGTTGTGATGTTGGACCTGCACTAGGCCAATCGTTCAGTAACTTTGGTGTCGAAGTTCTGATGCCAAGACACATCTGTGGCTGCTGTGGCGCACGCGGGGGTGTGGCGTCAATGCGCCTGCCTAATTGCCTAATGACCGCGCGAAGTCGCGTCGTGCACGTCAATGGCGCCTGTTGTCCATCAACCCACCCAAACCCCGTTTCCCCCCATTGTTTGGCTCAACACTTGACAGCGAACGCGTCACACTGTTACAATCTAATTACACGCGTTTTTCATCGTCAAGATGCCTGCCGACATTCGCAGCTTCTTTGGCGGCGGGCCCCCAAAGGCAAGCCAGGGATCACAGAAGAAAGATGAGCCTGTGCCGAAGAAGGCCGCGCCTAAGAAGAAGGGTCGCACAAGTCGTGTCGTAGAGGATTCTGACGACGATGATGAGGAGGAGGCGAAGTGAGTGTACAATTTCTGCTTGGTGACGTCAAATCTGACAGTTTATAGGCCGAAGAAAGCGACACCGAAGAAGCCCGCCGCAAAGAAGGTCAAGCGCGAACCGACGCCAGAACCCGTCCTCGAAGAGACCACCACATCAGACTTCTTTGCCAGCTCGAATAAGCCCAAGCGAACGGAACCTGTTAAGAAGAAGGCGGCGGAGACACCTGCTGCGACACCGAAGAAGGCACCTGCGAAGGCGAACGGAAAAGCATCAAAGACGGCTACCCCGGCTACCAATGCTAAGGCATCTGGCCGTGCGAAGAAACCCGTCACATCCTATGCCGAGCGGGATGACGAGGACGAGTTCCCGGACGACGACCTGGAGGACGCGGACGATATCTTCCAGGCCAACATCAAGGGCAAGGGCAAAGACGACTACAAAGAAGCCTCAGAGAGCGATGACGACGTACCTGTGAAGCTGCCACATCGCGGAACACCAAAGGCTCCGGCCAAGCAACAGAAGGCGATCAAGGAGGAAGACGACTTTGATCCAGAAGACGAAGATATTGACATGAAGGACATCGACGCAGAAGACGAATTTGTGGAGCCCGACGAGGATGAGCAAGCGCTGAAGAGCAAGCCAAAGAAGACACCGACTGCAGGCAAGAAGCGAAAGTCACCCATTTCTGACGACGAAGAGGAAGAGGAGGAGAAGCCCAAGAAAGGACGACCGAAGAAGGCTACAACGACGACACCGAAGTCGCCAGCGAAGAAGAAGGCCAAGAAGGAAGAGGTTGAGGATAGTGCGGATATCCAGGCCATCTACGACAGCATCCCTACAGTGCGCGCGCCCACTCCACCACCCAAAGACGACAATGCCAAGTTCAACTGGCAGGCGAATGCAGGTCGTGGGGAAGCTGCACCACTCGGAGGCGGATCTAGTGAGATGCCATCAGGCTCAGAGACATGTCTTGCAGGTCTCACATTCGTCTTCACTGGTGTGTTGCAGAAGTGGGGTCGCACTGAAGCCCAGGAGCTGGTAAAACGGCACGGCGGAAAGGTCACTGGCGCTCCAAGCAAGAAGACCAACTATGTTGTGCTAGGCACAGATGCTGGCCCGAGCAAACTGCGGAAGATCCAGGAGATGGAAATCAAGACAATCGATGAGGATGGCTTGACGGTGCTTATCGAGAAGCTGACTGCGGCTGGCAACAAGGGCGACAGCAAGGCACAGGCCGAGCACGCTGAGAAGCAACGCAAGGAGGAGGAAAAGATCAAGAAGCAAGCTGCAGAGCTTGAGCAAGAGGAGAAGAAGCGTCAGAAAGAGCTGTCGGCAGCAGCCAAAGCTTCCGGTAGCAAGACAGCCTCTGCCGTCACAGCAGCTGCTCAGAGTGCAGGCCCGGCCGTAGACTCCCGTTTGTGGACTACCAAGTATGCGCCCACATCACTCAACCAGATTTGTGGCAACAAGGCGACGGTTGAGAGGATCCAGCGTTGGTTGCAGATGTTCCCAAAGAACCTCAAGACTGGATTCAAGCTGGCTGGCAAAGACGGTAGCGGAAACTTCCGTGCCATCATGCTGCATGGCCCACCCGGTATTGGCAAGACTACCGCAGCGCATCTCGTCGCCAAGCTGGAGGGATACGATATTGTGGAGAGAAACGCCAGTGACACCCGAAGTAAGAAGCTCATCGAAGACGGTCTACGTGGCGTCCTTAGCACCAACTCACTCCATGGCTACTTTGCTGGAGACGGAAAGAAGGTTGAGGCAGCTAAGAAGAAGCTCGTTCTCATCATGGACGAGGTCGACGGTATGTCTGCGGGTGATCGTGGTGGTGTCGGTGCGCTCGCAGCGGTGTGCAAGAAGACGGAGGTTCCCATGATCCTCATCTGCAACGACAGGAAGCTGCCAAAGATGAAGCCCTTCGACTACGTTACATTCGATTTGCCTTTTCGACGGCCCACTGTCGACCAGGTACGATCACGCATCATGACCATCGCATACCGAGAAGGCTTGAAGATGCCTGCACCAGTCGTCAATGCACTCATTGAGGGCAGCCACGCCGATATCCGCCAGGTCGTCAACATGATTTCCACAGCCAAACTCGACCAAACAGCCATGGATTTCGACAAGGGCAAGACGATGTCTAAGAGCTGGGAGAAGCATGTCATCTTGAAGCCATGGGACATCACACAAAAGATTCTCGGTGGCGGCATGTTTGCCTCGAGCAGCAAAGCCACACTCAACGAGAAGATTGAGCTCTACTTCAACGACCACGAGTTCAGTCCGTTGATGCTGCAGGAGAACTACCTCGGCACAAACCCGATGCAGTCCCTGAACTACTCCGGCAAAGAGAAGAACCTGAAGAATCTGGAGTTGGCGTCACTAGCAGCCGACAGTATCAGCGATGGTGATCTTGTTGATCGCATGATTCACGGTTCCCAGCAGCAGTGGAGTTTGATGCCTACACACGCGGTCTTCAGTTTCGTCCGACCTGCAAGCTATGTTGCTGGTAGCACTGCCGGGAACCAGACGCGCTTCACATCATGGCTAGGAAAGAACAGTTCTACAAACAAGCTGAGCAGAATGATCAAGGAAATCCAGGCTCACATGAGGTTGCGGTCTTCCGGCGATCGACACGAGGTTCGGCAGCAGTACGTCCCACTTCTCTGGACGGACCTAGTTCAGAAGCTGCAGAAAGAAGGCAAAGACGCTGTTCCGCAAGTCATTGAACTGATGGACAGCTACTACCTGACCAAAGACGACTTCGACGCAATCATGGAACTCGGCGTCGGACCTATGGACCAAGAGAAGGTCAAGATCGACTCACAAACCAAATCCACATTTACACGCCTGTAAGTACCCCCCTCATCTTACCATCGCCCACTTACACTACTAACACCCACCGCAACAGCTACAACCAACAATCCCACCCCCTCCCCTTCATGAAAGCCTTCTCCGTCGCCCAACCCAAGAAACAAGCCAAAGAGAAACCGGATCTTGAAGAAGCGATCGACGAATCTGACGACGGCGAGGTTGTGGAGGAGGTCAAGGATGAAGAGGAGGATGTGGATTTGTCAAAGGATAAATATGTTAAGCAGCCGAAGAAGAAGGCTGCGCCGAAGAAGGGGGGTAAGAAGAAGAAGGATGAAGAGGATGATGAGGAAGAGGAGGTCAAGCCCAAGGGTAAGGGCAAGGCGAAGGCGGCGCCTAAGGGGAAGAAGAAGTGAGGCTGGGGGGTTTTGGTGAGTGGGTGGAGGGAGGATGGATGTGGGCTTGTTGTGAGGTATGTATGATAGGGTGGTTAGATTTATCGGTGGCAAGGCTGGGAGGACGGAGTGCATAGTACTTCAAGGGCGTATCTACACAGCGAGTCTAGTTATTTCGCATATTTTGAAGCAACATAGTCAAAATGGAAGTAATATGTATGTCTGCTGTGGGGCATGAAGTGCTACTTGCATTGTCAGGCCTATCACCAATGTTCACATCCCGAGTGAGTGGAATTCGTCCATTGCAGTACAGTATCTTTGCGCCAACCCAACCCATATAATTACCATGTACCTCATGTCATAACATCATCACAAACTACCTCTCCGACCCGTCCCAATCTACTTCCCCTCCCCCAACCCCTCCCCCTTCACCCTCCTCTCCCAAAGAAACTCATAATCCCCCATCGCCCTCTCCACAAAATCCTCCAAATCCGCCGCAAACTCCTCATTCCACTCCTCCGCCCACTTCTTCCTCTCCGTCTCAAGGGTCAACCCTTTCGCCTCATACCCCTTCTTTATCCCCTTTGACGCGTTGATTGTGCTGAGGAACCGCGCCATGAGCGGGTTATCTTCAATCTTTTTTTCTTCCCACGAGTACTGCACGGAGTCCGGGTCTAGGTTGCACTGGAGGCAGAGTTCGCGGACAGAGGCAGGGTTGTTCATGATGTCGTCGGCGTCGATGATACGGGGGGTTATGCCTGAGGTGGAGGATTGGGAGAGGTACCATTCATACAATGCGCGCGTATATTTCAAAGTATACGTCGTACACGTATACAACGTCCGGGGCTTGGTGTCTGGAAACGAATCTTTCTGCGCGCGCAGCATGGATGGGAACATTAGGATTGGGTGGCGGATCTGGAAGATGGGTTGGAGGGTGAGGAGGAGGGAGTCGGGGACGGAGGTGGGGTTTGTATGGGGGAGGGAGGGGGATGATGCATTGTTGCGTGGGTGGATGGTTAGGGCTGGCGGTTTGTCGTGCGGGTAGACGGTGGAGAAGAGGCGGTCGGGGCCGGAGAGGAAGATTGTGTGTTCTTTTACGAAGGCTTGTTTGCCCTGTTGAGTTGTTAGTTAGGTGTTGTATCTGAGGCTTGAACCGCGGTTCATGTTGCGTCTCTCTTGTTGTGTGCGCGCTCCAAACGAGGCTTGAACCGCGATTCGTGTTGGAGACGGGCCAGCCCGAGCACGTCATCTTGTGGGCGGATCACGACGAATGCATGTGCGGTTGTGGCGCAGCCTTGTCCTTATAACTCCCCAACCCCACATCTCTCTCCTCACATCACCTCTTTCTTGCTATCCTACTTACATTCTTTGCGCAATCCTCCAACTCATCTTCCAACTTGCCAAACGCCGTCTTGAACGTCTCATACAACCCGTTCCTCTCCTCCTCAGGCCACTGACTCAGCGGCCCCTTCTCCAGATTCATCAGCGTCGCAAAGCCGCCGTCGAAGAGCTTGTAGCCCGAGTTCTGGTAGCCAGGCTGCTTGGACATCATGGTTTGGAAGAGATTGGACGCTGAGCGGGGGTGCGTGAGGAGGTAGACTCCGCGGCGACCGGGTGGGATGGCATTAGGTTGGGGTGTTTGGAGTGTGCCTGGCATGGTGGCTTGCTTCCAAGGTTAAGAAGATGGGGTAGGTTGGTAGGTATTGAAGAAGAAGAGTCTTGACAAGATAATGTATCAAGCAGAGAGAAGAAAAGAGCAAGGCGAAAGAATTACCGACGGTAGAAAAGAGCTGGCTATCGCAAACAACTTATGCGCTTACGGACGAATACACCCCGTCACTTTGTACCTTGTATGAGGATCATCACGCTGCAGTACAGCGGCTACCGACTGCCCGCCCCTCCCCCCAACGGTCTCACCTCCATGGTGTCCACATGCGGTCTACGGCGACCGAGGAGTCCGAAAGAGCGGAGCTGATAAAGCGCTGCAAGGCGATATGACTTTAGGCTGTGGCTGCTGTCAAGGCTACGTAAGGCTACGCAAGGCTACGTCCACTAAGCGTCGCATGTCAGCCCCGCACAAGGCGTAAAGTGACTGCAGTCGCCTCGCGCCAGCGGCCGACAGACCGACGTTACACTATCGGCCGAAATATACGCATGCAGATCCGTGCAAGCATACGCACTTCTAGTATGTACGACCGCTACTTTCGTACATCAGGCAAAGTCAGGCCATCTCGGTGGATATTGTGTAGTAACAAGCTGGGATTATGTGGGGGTATCATGGAAAAATTATCTTATCAATCAATCTGATCAAAATCAATCGCCGAGATATATGCGAGCACCCTTTCTCAGCAGTGATCTTCGCCTGTTGTAACTCAACTCCACCGGCGCAGTGTTTACGTGCGTAATGCGCAGCTGTGACTGCTGATGCCGAGGTCGGCATGCTTCAAGCTAGACGCCTGACATGTTCATGTCTTGTAAGAGACTGCCCGCGTGCATACAACCCCTACCCCGTCGACCAGAAATTGCCCTTGTTCGCATCGATCGTCGGGGCGCGCCAGGATAGTGAAGCACACAGCAGGTTCGTGCGGTCCTCTGGCGTAGGCAGAGCGTCGTTGGTACCGCGGTAAGCGTGGAAGAGGGTATTTCCTGCATGGTCTATGCATCAGCGTTGTGAAGGACAAGCACTGACTCATCCGCGACTATGCTTCAGCCCTCCTTCCCAGCCTGCTCATGCTCCTTGTCCTGTTCGTGCCCATGTTCGTGGTGCCCGTTGAGATGCAGGATCCGCTTCATGCCGTCTACACTCTTCTCCAGATGGGGGTGTCGGGCTATGAAACCTCCATGATGGCCGTTGGATGGAGTACCGGTAATAGTGCGCTTCTTACCGGCAAGAGGGTCAACCGCAGCTACCCTTGGAGGCCACTCATCCGAGTCCTTCCAGCCTTGTACCAGCGCCTTGCTCATGTCTGCGAGGTTGATGGGGACCGAGGGCGTGCGCGACGAGACTACGATCTTCTGGAAGATGTCGCGGTATGCTTTGGGGGTGATGGACGCACGGATCGGGTTGTCCTCGAGAAGACGCGGCGCGACGGGAACGAGGTCGAAGGTGTCGGGCGTGGCACTGGTGATGGAGTGCGATTCCGAGCCGGTGGGTGTGACGGCGTGCTCTTCGGACGAGTAGCCTGCGGCTGAAGACGGGCGGTTGGCCTGTCTTTGGCGGTTCGTGCCGTACTTCTTTACGCTCGCTGCGCCCGTCCACACGTCTCGTCGCTCGACCCAGATCCTCAGTCCTTCATTCTCTTTCATCTCGCGCTCCAGCCTCTCTCTACGGCGCCTTCTGCGCGCCTCCCTGGTGCTCGCTACCGCATCGCCGATGCTCTCTGGGTTGTCGAACCTGTACGGGCCGACGCCTTCGTCTTCTTGATCCGAGTCTCCAGATTCCGACTCGCCGTAGTAGCGCTCGCGAAAGTCGGCAGCGTCACGCACCTCTTCATCCGAGGCTGACCAGATGGCAGGCACGTCAGGATACTCCCAGTCGTTGCGCAGGCGCTCGTCGAGGTAGCGCCGGGATGCTCGGGCGGCGCTCAGGTTGTTCTCCATGGTTGAGGCGTGAGTGCAGCGCTGATCGCAGGTGTGATGGGCAGAAGAGTGGGGAACTGCAAGCGGGGACCAGGCTGACTGTCAGACCCCAAGGTTGGAATTGCCCAACTTCCAAGCCCAGATACCAAGACTAGTGACGTACGCGATGATCAGCTTGATCACCGTCTTGCAGCCGTCAAACAACTATCGCGCGTTGTGCTGCGGGGTATTTTGTACAATCTCGAAAAGATCAGACGGTCGTGGAAGCGGGTAGAGAGTGGGTATGCGAAAAGAAAGTAAAACCGGCAGTGGCCGCGATTAAGAGGGTCAAGGGCAAAGACGATGCGACAAAGCTTGAATGGGCTTTGCGCTGGCACTGGCGCGAAACGGATCGTTGACGTCGACCGCACGCAAATGCATGCAGGGCAGAATGGCGGGCGGGGCGCTGCACTTTACCCAGCCGAGCAAGCGCCTGTCACACCACCTTTGCCCATCCGACATTCTCTCTGTAGGCCAGACACTGGATCTCGAACTTATGGTCTTTTTGAGTATATCCATGAGCGCTGAACTCTTGTTTCCTATAATTGGCTTCGACATGTATCATATAACAAGAAGAATACTCGGAACGAGCCATCAATTTCAATGCTGGTATGCTAGACGCACCGCAAAAGAATCACCCCAACCATCCACCAACCCCTGGCGCTTGAGAGTAGTAGCGCGACCTCCGTACAAACAAGGCTGGCCGCTGTGGTTTCCTTTGGGTAGCTGGAGGTACCAACAAAGCCACTCGCTCCGTGAGTGTTTCTTGTTCCTTGTCTACCACCACCTCATCCATCTTTGCCACTCCCAAATTCCCATTTACCTTCTCCGCCGTAGTCCAAGAAACATTCATACAAGTCAGCGCCGCCCAAATCTTAACAAAAGCATGCAAATGCCCAAACAGCAGATACGCCGGAAAATACACAACATCGCGCGGATGCTTGCGAAAGTGTTCCAGAATCTTGACAAACTTGAAAGACAAGATCCAGATCGTGAGTGCCACTGCACTAACAGCGAAATACTCAGCCTTCCCGTACTGCCTCAGCGTCCCACGAAGAGTCATATACATACACGCCTCCTGCGTAAGCGACTGTCGAAAAAACCACATAAGCAAACTCCACGACATGAACGGATGTCGCATCCACGTCAACCCACCCATCAACTGCGCCGGATTATTCCGCCAAGTCGTCCGTGTCCAGCGTAGTACCTGACCCAAAAATTTCGGCCACTCCCCCAGTTCCGTCGTCATAACGCTATCCGGCCCAGCCTGCAGTCCAAAATCCCAATCATGCTCAATCAGCCAGCGCGTGTGGAACTTGTCGTCATCGGAATTCAACGGCTCGCTTTTAAACGGCATGTAGCTGTTCAAATACCCGTTCAGGAACTCGGGCGACGCGTAGATGGCTGTGCGGAACACGCCGAAACGGCCTGGTAATGTTGATAGGCCGCGGTCGATGCCGTAGGTGCCTCTGTACTCGTAGGAGCGGCGCATCAGGTATGTCATGCCCATGAAATTCCAGAATCCAGGCCAGGAGAAGGGGTGGCCGCGGTGTCGGGCTTGTAAATCGGCGCTTACGGCACCGACTTTTGCGTCTTCGAAGGGGGCGATTACGGAGGCGATGAAGCGAGGGGATTGGGGCCAGTACGTGTGATCGTCCTGAAGAATAACAAGCCGTGTGGAGACTTGTTTGAGGGCTTGGGCTGTTTGTTCGCGGCGTGAGGCTTTGACGCGGTGGGCCACCACGACCTTGCTCTCTGGAAATAAAGCTCGAAAAGCGCGGAATTGCTCTGCGGCTTGGGTGCCGGCGGTTGCGATGATGAGCTTGGGGACGCTTTGGGCGAGGATGGAGCGGACGACGTGATGCAGGGTTTCGCACATGAGGTCTGTGGTGGGGATTATGACTGTCACGTCGTTGGTGTGGTATGTGGGGTGCAGCGGTATGGGTGTAGGCCTGTATCTATAGGTGCCGTATAGACTGATGAGGACGCGGAGGTAGCGGAGAAGAAAGACGAAGAGGAATGAGATTGGGTAGATGTTGCGATGTAGAGATTGGTAGATGGGCCACTCTGTGAGGCGGGTCGGCACGTACAGTAGAGGCATCCTTAGGCTGTGGCTTGTCTCTGGTAGTAGTGCGATCAACGCATGTGGTGCAGTAAACAGTTCGGTGAGAGTCATCGTGAGCTGGTACTAGATTCGCTAAGAAAGCTAACTATGGAGGTGTTGTAAAGAACAAGCAAAGGATAACGCCGCAATGAGGTGCCGTGGTAGAGTGTCTTGTTCATACCGAGACAGCGCAACAGGACCTTTATATTGCAAAGAATCATGGAAGGGACAGCGAAGTAGACTGTGAGTAGATGGGCGGTTCCGGTCGCACAGGTATGTTCGCTGATCAGCGCATATAGAATTGTGAGAAGAGTTGCGATGATGGAGCGATCGCATTTGGGGTCGGTGACGTGAAGGAAAGGAGCCCGAATAGAGACGAGAATAGATACGTTCAGCGACGAAAACCCCCTTCTCATACAGCGACCCATTCGTACGGTGGCAGCTTCGAATCATCCGGCTTGTCCTCCGGCAATAGCTTGTACGCTTTCGTCTTGCAGAACGTCCAGGCGAGTGCGTCGCGCAGCCTTATTGCCCAGGCAGTCTGAGGGAAAGCGAACTGAGGGAAGCCAGGCGGCAAGTCTGCACCTTGACCTTGGACCTTACGGTACGTCTCTTCGTAACGCTTGAGCGCAGCTGGGATATCGTCGGTGGTCTTTATCTTGCCGAGTTCGCCTGCGAGGAAGTATGCGCCCTCAACAGCGAGGGTAGTGCCAACACCGAATGTGGCGTGGGCTGCATCGCCAAGAAGAACAGCACGATTGTTTGTCCAAGTAGGAAGCTTGACGTACGCTGAGCGGCTCATATAGAAGTCGTCGCATGCGTCCATACCGGCGAGGATGCGCTCAGCTTGCCACCCTGCATCGTCTAAATACAAGTGAAGAATCTCTTTCTGCTTCTCGGGACCGCCTTCCATCGCTGCTTCGACGAGAGGATCGTAGTGTCCATGTGCTGGCGTTGTGATGATGACGTAACACCCAATCGTCTTGCCGTTGCGATGCGGTCGCGTCATCAAGCCTCGGCCTTTTGGTGCGTTGTACCAATACCAGTGCTTCGTGTCGGATTCCTGGCGGGGAATGCTGAAGTACGCGACGTATTGCCCGATGAAGTTGTAACTTCCCTTGAGCGTCTCTTCATCCAGGATAAGGGAGCGTATTCGTGACGCTGAGCCGTCTGCGCCAACGATGAGGTCGAACTTGTCTGTTGCTCCACTGTCGAAGGTCACGTCCACCGACTGCTCTGTTTGTTGTACCGCTGTGACGTAGTCGCCGTACACGTATTTCACATTCTTCATGCTCTTGGACGCATCCAAGAATAGGCCGCAGAGATCTGATCGCAGGATCTCATACTCGGATGTGAAGCCGCCTTTTCCAAACTCGGCGATAATCTTGCTTTGTGCGTTGATCAGGCGTGTGCCCTCTTCCGTGGTGTTGCGTGCAAGTACGCTTGGCAAGAGGCCCATCTTCTCGACAATGGAGATGGCTGGACCGCGAATCTCGATCGACTGGCCGGTGGGTCGAGGGAACGGCGAGCGTTCTAGAACGGTGATGGAGGCATTCAGACCTGTTCTGGCGAGCCAGTAGGCGAAATTCGATCCTGCAATGCCAGCACCATTGACAAGAACTTTGAGTTGGGGAGCTGTTGCGAGAGACATGGTTCTGATGAGTCGTTTGGTGATGATGTGTTGAGGCATTTCGATGGACGCGACACAAGTTACTTATATACCTTGAAGTTGTGATGCTCTTGCGTCCAAGGCGTCCAAAGCTCAGCCTTGATGCGCTGAGGCACGCCTGACCCGAGATCAATCTGGCCCGAAATGCGTGAAACCCGAGTCTAGTGGCACACTCATCGCTACGAGGCGCACTTAGTCGACGAGCTTATCGCAATTAAGCACTGGCTAATGCGCCGCACCGACATGGTGTGAATTAAGGTATGTTGTCGTGCTCCAATAGCGTTGGAGTAAGCTTGCTGCCTGGCAAGCGGTGGGCGGTGGGCGGTTGGGGGCTGGTGGGTTGTCGCTGGGGCCACCCGTCTCTTCCCCGCCATGTCCACTTTGAGACAGGCGGGAATCCGTAACTCCCGAGCTGCGATGCGAGCGCATCGTATCTACGAGTTCTGTAGTGGCATGATGCAATGACGCCACAAATATTGTAGCACCCTACTAACTCAACGCCTCATCCTCACGTCCACGTATTCCGTCCAAACCTGTAAACGCCAATCTACCCTCCTTACGATGGCGCGCATCCTTATCACAGGCTCTTCCGACGGTCTCGGATTGGCCGTCGCCAAACGTCTCGTCGCAAATAGACATTCTGTTGGTATGCATCTAAAATGCCCGTCTTGAACATCACCCAGGCGCTGATTCGATGCAGTCCTCCATGCGCGCAACGCTCAACGTGCAAAAGACGCCAGGACAGCTTGTCCCGGAGCTGACACAGTCGTGACGGGCGACTTGTCCAGCCTTTCAGAGACCAAGAACATGGCAAACGAAGTCAATAAACTGGGAGCGTTCGACTGCGTAATCCACAACGCCGGACTTTATCAAGGCCCATTCCGCAAGACAAGCGAGGGGATTCCTGCCCTCGCAGCCGTCAACACCGTTGCACCATATGTGCTCACCGCACTGATCACCCGTCCCAAGCGCCTGGTATTCCTCTCCTCCGAGATGCATCAATCAGGTTCTCCTAGTTTGGACGATGTTCTATGGCAGAAACGCGGCGAAGGCCAATACAGCGCGAATGCCGCCTACTGCGCGAGCAAGCTTCACAACGTCTTGCTTGCCAAAGCTTTCGCCCGCAGATGGCCCGACGTGAAGAGCAATGCATTGGATCCTGGCTGGGTGGCTACCAAGATGGGTGGCAGTTCGGCACCAGGCAGCGTTGACGCGGCGGTCGAAAGCTACGTCATGCTTGCTGAGGGAGAGGAAGAGAAGGCCAAAATGAGCGGGTGCTATTTCCATCCGAGCAAGCGCCAAGGCACGCCTCAAAAAGCAACAGAGGATGAGGAGGCACAGGACAAGCTGCTAGAGATTTGCGCTGAGTTCTCTGGTGTTCAGCTTTCATGATGTTCGTCACCTTGCGGGACCCGACATGTCGGCTAAATCCATGCTCAGTCTCTTCGGCGCAAGGGAATCATGGGGTAATGGTCCTCCGCATGTCGATACGAAGTGTATATAGTAGCCTCGATCGGAGGGCACGGAATAATATAGAACGCGCAAATCACCACACGATACTGATGAGATTTGCGCCGATTGCAGATTGAACGATACGATGAACAGCCTGTTTGAGCCCCACATCTCAACCGCAATGCATACTTCAGCAAGATGCTCTCCGCTGTCGTCTTGATACCATAATCATCGAACGCATCATGTATTTTGCGTTGTTGCATCTTGTGGCCCTTGGGGCCCTATCGCATGTCACTCTGGCAGTCTCTCTGGAAAGTCGCCAAGCGCAGCAGAAAGTCACCATCGACCTGACGAAGAGATACCAGACGATCGACGGCTTCGGTTTCTCAGGCGCATTCCAGCGCGCCAACCTCATCGTCAATCTGCAGCAGCCCAAACAGCGCGAGGTTCTCGATCTACTCTTCAACACGACCACCGGCGCTGGCTTCTCAATCGTGCGCAATGGTATTGGCTCGACACCCAATAGCAACAGCGATTTCATGAACACGATCCTTCCCAGATGCCCAAGCACACCAGCGGAAGTTACTACGAACTATAGCGGGTACGTCTGGGATGCTAAGGATAGCGGACAGTTGTTTCTCAGCCAGAGAGCACAAGAGTATGGTGTAAATACCTTCTACGCGAATGCATGGAGCGCGCCTGGATGCATGAAGACAAACAACCAAGACACCAACGGCGGCCAGCTCTGTGGTGTACGTGCATCCCCGAGGTTCTCTCATCGCATCCGCTAACCTGCCCCAGGTCTCTAATACCAATTGTCGCTCTGGAGACTGGAAACAAGCCTACGCGAACTACCTCGTCGCATACATCAACTTCTACGCATCAGCCGGCGTCAAAGTAACACACCTCGGCTTCCTCAACGAGCCCGACTTATCCACCTCATACGCCTCAATGCAATCATCTGGTACCCAAGCCGCCGAGTTCATCAAAGTCCTTCGCCCCACACTCGACCGTGCGAACCTGACTTCCGTGGGCATAAACTGCTGCGAAGCCACAGGCTGGAACGTCGCAACCCAACACGCACAGCAAATCGCCTCTGCCGGCGCCGAAAGCCTCGTCTACGCCATCACATCTCACGAGTACACTTCGCGCATCAGCGGCACCATGCGCACTGCCGCTCGCGTCTGGCAAACCGAGTACTCAGACCTGAGCGGCGGTTGGAGCACAGCCTGGTATTCCAACGGCGGCGCCGGCGACGGCTTCACCTGGGCGAACACCGTCTTCAACGGTGTCGTAAACTCCAATCTGTCCGCGTACATCTTCTGGGAGGGTGTCCAGGACCGCGCTACGAATAATAATAACAACGAGAAGCTTATCTTGGTTGATGGCCAGAACTACCAGGTTAGCAAGCGGCTTTGGGCTTTCGCGCAGTTTCGCGTCGTTAGGCCGGGTGCTGTGAGGGTGGGGGCGAGTGGTGGGGCGAATGTCAAGGCTGGTGCTTTTGTTAATGGGGATGGGAGTGTTGCGGTTGTGGTTATTAATTCTGCGGCGGGTGCGCAGAGTGTGGGTGTTGCGTTGGCTGGGTATCCGGATGTGAGGGCGTGGTACACCGATAATACTCACGATATGAGTGTTGCGACTGTAACCGTGGGAAGTGACGGGACTGCGAGTGCAAGTGTGCCTGGTAGAGCGATGATCAGTTTTCTGTTCAAGAAGGCTGCGAATGCGACGATGTCGTAAGTTGGGTGGTGGATGTGGAGAGTGGCCTGGGCGCGCTAGGCGTTCAAGCCCCACCGCGTGAAGGCGCCACTTCCGCGTGACATGAGCTGAGGTCACATCTTCAATCTCGAACAAACACTGCGTTATCCTTCGCCTGTCGTCAAATGCCATGTGCCTTCGTAACTGTCCCGTGGATTTTGTGAGGCCCCTCCAATACGAGGCGGCACGCTCACAGCGCGCTGAACGAAGCCAAAGCGCTTTCTTGACCCCGCTCACAGCTCGGTCCTTCTCCCCCAAGAAATCGCATCACGCGTTATCGCATCGTATTCGGACAGCAACATGGCTATCTTACGATGCAGATCGGATTTTGTGAGAGAGTTAAAGCAGTCACCGCCATAACGGCCAAGGCTCGGTCCGCAAGAAGCCTGAATTCTCCGGTGGTAATCCGTAATGGGGAAAGGGGCCGATAGCTAATATTGAAAAGTGGACACTATCCACGATCTCCATGCTGGTGTTTCTATTTCCTGTCCACACACAGGGCACATTGGGCAACCTGACCGTGCTATACGAAGTGCGCATGAACATCGACATGTCCCGAAAGCTTCCAGATAACGCTACGGGCTTGGTCTTCGTACAGATATAATGGTCATCATGGCTGCGATGCCACACACGTATCCCCCTCACGCTCGCTTTTGACAATGGGAAAGATCGCTTGCGCCATCGCGGCCCTTGTTCTGGGCGCGCAAGTTGCCGTCTCAACGCCCATTCATGCTCGACTTCAACCGAATGCGATTGTACATCGAGCTGCAAATGACACGCCGGTGGCAGGCGGCATCATGCCCGGTGCCTACATTGTCGAGTTCGCGAATGACAATGAGACACCGGAGTCATTCTACGCGTCTCTTGCAGCCAGCGGCGTACAGGTTGAACCTCGCATGGACCTGAGCTTCCGTTTCTTCAAAGGTGTCTCGTTCCAAGTCAAGAGGTCGAGCTCGAACTCGACTGGTGGGGACTTCTTGCGTCAGATGAAGGCACAACCCCAGGTCGAGAACATATGGCCGACGCGCATCACCACACGTTCGGGTGAGGAAAGTGTTGCAGCACCCTTCCAGCAGAAGCACACCAAGCGGCAAACCACATCCGAGCGTACCTTCTCTCCTCATGTCATGACCCAAGTCGACAAGCTGCACGCAGAGGGCGTCACCGGCAAAGGCTTCCGGGTTGCCATTGTCGACAGCGGCCTCGACTACACCCATCCAGCACTCGGCGGATGCTTTGGTCCGGGCTGTCTGGTAGAAGCGGGGTACGATTTCATCGGCGACAACTACATACCAGGCAAGACAGATCCTGAGCCCGATGACGACCCCATGGACAATTGCGGTGGACATGGTACCCACGTTGCAGGCACCATTGCCGCTCAGCTCCAAGGCAACAAGTATGGCTTCACAGGCTCTGCTCCCGGAGCAAAGCTAGGCGCATACAGGATGTGGGGCTGCACATCGACTTCTACGAACGAGATCGAGCTGATGGCATTTGCTCGGGCTGTCGAGGACGGCGCAGACATCATCTCTTACTCCAACGGCGATGAGTCGGGCTGGGCGCAGGATGTACGCGCTGTCATCATCTCCCGCATTGTTGACTCTGGTGTTCCTGTCGTAATATCCGAAGGCAACGGCGGAGGCCAGGGTATGTTCTATGCTTCTACACCGGCAACGGGATACAGCGTCATGGGTACGGGAGCGGTGTCCAATACGAAATTTCCCACGTTCCTCGAGCGAGGCTCCTACACGACTGGTGCTAATGCTACCAGCAACGGTACGATCGACTTCGGCTTCTTGATGGGTGTACCTGAATTTGCTGCCGACACGACACTCCAGCTGTGGTCTGCTGCCGATGTAGATGACGCTTGCAAGCCCTTGCCCGATGATACGCCGGATCTGAGCCAGCGCATCGTGCTTCTGGAGTTCAAGGATGCAAGAGCAACCCAGTGCTATCCGCAAGATCAGGGCGCGAATCTCGCCGCGAAGGGTGCACGATTTATGATCTACTATGAGCGCAGCAACCTTACGATGCGGGACGAGCCATACGTCTACGCCGACGGAATCGAAGGAGTAGTCAAGGCTGTCCCATACGTTGCTGAGCGTTGGCTTTCCCTCCTTTCGCAGGGCAGCACCGTCTCCGTGACAATACCCGCGAATGGAACCCAAACGCACCTCGAGGAGCTTGAGAACAACGAGACCGGCGGATATGTCGCGGGCGAGCTGAGTAGCTGGGGCCCAAGTTGGGAGCTGAGCATGACGCCACAGATTGTATCACCCGGAGAGAACATCCTGAGCACGTACCCGACGGCTTTGGGTAGCTACCGCGTCATGACTGGTACCAGCATGGCAACGCCGCTGGTCGCAGGTGTCTACGCAATGCTTGGTGAAGTATACGGCAAGTTGGAACCAGAGCGACTTCGCAGGATCCTCACGCACACGTCCAAACCACTTGCATGGCACGACGGTACGAAGGCATACCCCGACATCCTCGCTCCAGTCGCCCAGCAAGGCGCCGGGCTGATTCAGTCGTGGAACGCTGCCCACACCACTCTTGAGCTCGATGTCGACAGTCTCATGCTGAACGACACGGAACACTTCGTCAGCACCCGAACCTTCAGCATAAAGAACACTGGCTCCACCGACGAGGTCCTCGACTTGGGCCACCGCAAAGCCGTCACAGTGTACACTTTCCAACCCAACGTACCCGACCTACGTACAGGCGTGTTCCCCAACCCCGCCGTTGACTCATGGGCCACTGTCTCCTTCTCCTCCTCCCGCATCAACGTCCCCGCTGGCCAATCCGCCAAGGTAACCGTCGACATCACACCACCCGCAGGTGTAAACGCAACCTTGCTTCCCGTCTACAGCGGCTTCCTCAGCATCGGCGACAAGCTCCACCTACCCTATCTAGGCGTCGTCGGAAACATGCGCGACGTGCCCATCGCAACGGCCGACAAGGTCTACCTCGCGCAAGGATACTCGCCCGCGCCTGCGAACGTATCCTACACCATCCCTAGACCAGACCCCGAGAACCCGCCCTTGACCGACCGTGGTGACATGCAAAACACACCGAATGTATACGTTGGCACTATAGTGGGATCGTCGTTGGTGCGCGTCGAGGTGGTGCAGGGAGACAGGGTGCTGGGTGCGTTGGCGGGGTTCCCGCAGACGTACGTTGCGAGAGGTGAGGTGCGCGCGTACTTTAATGGGTTGATGGCGGATGGGACGGTGCTTGATGAGGGGGTGTATAAGATGAAGGTTAGTGCGCTGCGTATCTTTGGTAATGAGGAAAGTGAGGAGGATTGGGATGTTTTTGAGTCGGTCAGTTTTAAGGTGAGGTACGCTGTGTAGTAGCTTTGCGACGTGGGTTCAAACTGAATTGATACGTTTCGAGAATGTCTTCACTTCACTCTTTCTACTTTGGTCAGCCTTGAACATGCACGATAGTTTGCAAAGTCCTGTCGCGTGGTCACTTTCAAGAACAGCGGCTCCGATGATGTACACTGTATCCCTCCTTCAGGTAGCGATATCATAGGCGTGTGGATGCGGGCTCTTGCTCGCCGGCCGTGCAGATAGACTATTTTCAGCGCGGTAACGCCATGCGCGACTTTTTCTGGAATATTACGCCACGGCCCGAAGCCATACCCACGGCGCCGCAACACCGCGCTCAAGCGACTCACGAACGGCTTGTATCGCTCCGGAAGTTTCCTTCTCCGCAACTCACCCGGGCGTCGAAACGCGCTACATCGACCACTGCCGGCGGTATCACGTCATCCTCTGCGACGACGACTGGCTCAACGCACGCAAAGCTTTAGTCCCCTCCACCCTGAAGGCATACCAACGCGCATCCTCTCCCCGCATCCTGTTCGACCCCACAGACTCTGTCCGATGTCCCAGCAGCGGGCATCGCAAGCGTGGACAACGGCCTAGTCTCCGCTCCTCAGCCTCCTTCGCGCGATCTGGTACAAGCCGGCGTCAGTCTTGGCGTAAGGGTCGTGCAATTCTGACATTGAAGGGCTACGAGGTGCGATACATTGTGATCAGCGGAACCAAGGCCGTTGAGAAGAGCGCACGGCGGAGCAGCGGAGGGACACGATGCGCAATCGCACTGCGAGCAGGTATGACGTCGAGCGGATTAGTGATGGCGCCTGAGGGACGCATGTCATGTCAGGCCCACTGGGGCTTCGCACGCTGCCGAGCACGCTACCACACGTCTTACCTAACGACAACAGCTGCCCCAGATTGAGGCTCTGCGCTACCATCCGTACCTTGCAACTGTTACCTAACGACAATGCCTTTCCCCAGACTGCCGCTCCGCATCCTCCGAATTCTTTACATAACAGCAAATCTGCCCCAGATCGCGTCCGCAGCACTGGGTCAGCCCTGGTGTCAGCTTGCTTCCAGAGTGCTGCAACTGGCTTCCAGAAGCCGTGCTCACCGGAGTGGTTGCGTAGCTGCTTGTCCTTTGGCTCGGGAAGGTAGTCGAGTGCGGAGGAGGCCCGTTCTCCACGTGCTTCCTTCCCGAGTATTCCTCCGATACCCTCATATCCAGCGCCAATACTCGGAAATATATCTCCAAGTTGCGCAAGTCTCTCCGCGTCTTGGACGCCCATCGCAATAGATTCCTGGAGTTTGATACGACCATGTATCAGCTTGCGGCATTGCGATATAGCATTTCAGGTACTATACCAGCACACGACCATCTCGGGACTGTTGCGGTTTGGTTCATGGTGTAGCGATACAGGGTCGCATGACAGCCCTGAGGATCTGGATGCTCAAACTACACCTGTAGCGTGCCTGTGTACCATTGCTACTTGTTCACTAATGCGCCATTTCCACGCGACTCCGACCACCTGTATATGCGCATGCTATCTCTGCAATCTCTTCGCGCACCCACGCATATCATCGATATTGACACAATTCATTCGAAAACGCGACAAGAATGACGCATTCTCGTTATTTCGCTATCTCGGAAAGCATTGTTGAACAGATCTGAGCGGACCCTCGTTCCACAACGCAGGCCCAGAAATCCACAAAAGATAAGCGTCTATTTCACTTGGTCCGAAGTGCTTCGGCCCTGTTCCGGTCCTGGCGCGCGTGCTTGTCGTCGCGCGCAGCAGTGGTGGGCGGCCTTGTCGCGAAGCTTGCCCACGCCACCTGGGATACCACGACCGATTGCGCTCCCCCAGAGTGCTCTCGAACGCGCCCAACATGCACAGCGCGGGCGCTTGACGCTGGTGACATTCGACGATGCAAAAAATGGAGTCATTTTACCGGGTTGGGCCTAGGTCGGCAAAACCTCGCTGTACCTGCACACATTTTTTCGCGGCTTAGTGCGGCTCCAGGCCAGGTTGCCTCGGTCTTTCGCGGCTCCACGCCTCTCACGCCAACGTGAAGCATCAACCACCAGTGTCCACTACCGCGAAACGACCCACGTACCTGGGGAAACAATGCGCGCGCGGCGACCTCCACATCGTTCCTGGGTCTGTGCCAGCCGATGTCGGTCGGGCCGACGATTCTTGCATATGTAAATGGCAGACGGTCGCCCTTGGAGGCACGTCTCATTCTCGTGCGCCATCTCCTCTTGATACCCAGGAACACTCATCAGGGCGACATGGGCTTCTCCAACGACAAGATCAGCGACGACAAGATGGGCAACGACCTCGAATACGGCGCCCAGCTCAAGCCTGAGGACACCAACCCAACGGGTCAGACCGATGCCGTCTTTGGTGAAATCGTCGAGGGAGGACCCAACTACCGCAGCGTATGTTTCCATACCATCATTCCTACCCAACGCATATTGACATCTTGCAGGTCAGCTGGTGGGGATCTTCCGTCATCATGATGAAGACACAGATCGGTCTCGGTGTCCTATCCATCCCCGCTGCATTCGATGCTCTGGGCCTCATTCCTGGCATCATCTCGCTGCTTGCCATCGGATTGATCACGCTCTGGTCTGGATACATGGTCGGCACATTCAAGATGCGTCACCCCGAGGTGTACGGTATCGAGGACGTGGGACAGAAGCTCTTTGGGCGCACTGGCCGCGAGGTGCTCGGTCTTGCGTTCGCTCTATTATGGACGTGCGTTGCTGGCTCCGGTATGCTGGGTATCTCCATCGGCTTGAACTCGTTGTCTGAGCATGGCACGTGTACTGCTGTCTTCGTGGCTGTAGCCGCATTCGTGGGCTTCGCAATTGCTTCGATCAAGACCTTGGGCAAGCTTTCTTGGATTGCGTGGGTTGGTCTTGTTGGCATCATGTCAGCCATCATCACCCTCACCGTCGCAGTCAGTCTCCAGGACCGCCCCTCTGCGGCGCCTCAATTCGGCCCCTGGGAGTCTGACTTTGAGCTTTTCAAATCGCCCACCTTCGCTGAGGCAGCGGCTGCTCTTTCCAGTATCGTCTTTGCGTTCTGCGGCATCCCTGCGTACTTCAACGTCGTGTCCGAGATGAAGGACCAGAAGGACTACTTCAAGGCTCTGTCGCTGTGCCAGTTCGTCATGACCTCGATTTACGTCGCCATCGGCATCGTCGTCTACTACTACTGCGGATCGTACGTCGCTTCGCCTGCGCTGGGATCCGCCGGTGTGTTGATGAAGAAGGTGTGCTACGGTCTTGCGCTTCCGGGTCTGCTTGCCTCCGTCGTCCTGGTCACTCATGTAAGTTCCTCATTCCTCTTCCGTTTACTCCTTGCAGACAGTATGCTGACCTCAAACAGCTCGTCGCCAAGTACTTCTTCATCCGCACCCTTCGCGGAACCAAGCATCTCAGCCACCCCACCACCAAGCACTGGATCACCTGGTTCGGTTTCACCGCCGCCGTCTCCCTAACCGCCTACGTCATCGCATCCGCAATCCCCGTCTTCGGCGGTCTCGTCTCGCTTGTCGGCGCACTCTTCGGCACGCTGATGAGCTTCCAGCCCATGGGCTGCATGTGGCTCTACGACAACTGGCACCGGTCCAACCGCGACTGGAGGTGGAAGGGTATGGTCGCATGGTCCGTCTTCGTCATTGTGTCTGGCACCTTCCTCCTCATTGGCGGTACTTATGGTTCCATTGCCGGCATTATCGACTCATACAACAAGGATGGCGGAACCAAGGCTTGGACTTGCGCGGATAACTCCAACTCCAGCGGTGGTCACTAAGCGTGGCTGTTTGTTGGAAGGAGCGTCATGATTGCATGGTCGCTCCAGTCTTGTTCTTTAGCGTTGCATATGCACGATTCGAATGTATATATCATACCCTGGCTCAATATAGGCCGTATCTGAAGATTTGAGTTCATTGACTTTGCAAAACTGTTGCCTTGAGTCGTTTGTTAATACCTTCTCTTTCAAACGAAAGGTAAAAGTCGAAACCGGCGACTGCTTCTGGGGGACACCGCCATCATGCGCCGCGGTAGTCGCCCAAGCAACGTTCGATTGACAGTACATCGCCACCTGGGGAATTCTCATGTGCGTGGACTCTAGTCTCGGGGCGTGGGCGGCATTCCCGTCGATGCGGTTGCAGTGTCTTGGGCGTCGAAAAAAAAGTTGTTGATGTTGTCCTTGGTAACGGGGTCGATCGTAGAAAGGAACGGGGCGCAGAGTTGACGACTGGCTTCAGCAGACTGGATGTAGGAAGGTAGATGTAAAGCTTGAGACTGAGAGCGAAACAATGTATGGAGAAGGTGGAAGGAGAGACCTCGGGACGCGGAGCTTGATAACGTGCGCAATTACATAGAAGACTAGATCGCGGTGTGCGCAAACCACATGGCGACAGCACAACAACCTACCTGATTCTAATAAATGCCTTGAAGCCAGATACTTATCCTCCTTCTCCGGGTGCAACGGCAACGGGCTTCTTATCTACCTGCGCTTTTGCGCCCTACGCCCTCACACGCCCTACATGTACTCCGCGTCCACGCCTTTTCCGCAGGAGATCCCCGCGGAAAAGTGGGTCCCACACACCGACTTCGCACCACGGCACCTTCCCCTTCGTTCACCATGTCTGGAGGGACCTTCCCGTTTCGGTCGCGCTTTCCATGGCCCTTATCTGAAGGCACATTATTGTTCGTCGTGACTTTCCTTGGATTGCCGAGATATCCATGGATGGGTGAGGCACGTGGTGAGAATGCGATGGGGGGTTGTTTACGCGAGGATGGCTTCACAGCGTGTGTGCGACTTGGTAAGCAGAGACACCAGAGGATGCGGCAGCAGCAAGACTATCGTTTTAGGCCACGATCCGGCTGCAGCTGGTTATCTCGCTGCTAGCACACGTGTCCACGTGGTCGCGCGTTGAGTTGCGGGACCGGAGCCTCCCAAGGTCGTCGCGACTGGCCTCGCTACCGCCTTCCCTACCAGACACGACCTTGC